GAAATATCATATATAATAGTAAAAAATAAATATTTATATTATAATCTCTTTTTATATTTGCAGGGATGTTCACCACCCAAATGTAAAGTCTATCTTAACTATGTTGTGAAAAATTTCCCGATACCGGGCATACTTTGCGGAGATTATTACAGGTTATATTTAAAAAATTTTTTAATTAAACATTTCTTTTTGTCTTTTAATGTATAATTAAAAAATACAAAAATATACTTAATTATCAAAAAGTTCTTACATTAATGAAAATAGAATATAGTTTATATAATGTTGCAAAAGATTCTAAAATATCTTATTTTTTCATATGCAGAAAATTAACCGAGACGTGTTTTCCAAAACTCTCGCCGAGAAAAGTACGGATCTATGAACTATACTGTGTACACTTAGGGTTGACTACGTCGACATGCGTCCTGGAACATTCCCGCAGACTGGCAGCCACAATCTGGGAAGTTACCGGGGTGCCGAACAATCTTGCGGATATATTCTAAAATTGCATTCCCTCGAGTACAAAATTTCAATTGAATAATTTTAATTTGTCTAGATTTTATGAATTTCGGTAGTTCTCGAATTCCAATATTGAACTTCCATCTTTAATTTTAAATTCTCTAAGTATCTTTTAAAGGTATTTGAATTTCTATGATATTTAGATTCCTAGACTCTTCCTTACATTTTTAAATCATCGCTTTTCATAATAGGTATTAGTTTTCTTTCTTTCTCTTTTTGGCTGCAGGCCAAATCGTAAAACTGTTTTCTTTCAAAATACGAAACGAATACTTCTAGAGAAATGTACAATTCCAATTGCGACATTTCAAAAATTTAATATTTCCATATTAATCAATATGAAATAAGATGATGTCAATAACAATAACGGGGAAACTTATTTATTTTGCTTAGTCTTATCTTAAGGTTAGATATATCCCTGTTTGCAGTCGAAGAATTAACTAGGATATTATGAATTATGTAATTATTCATTAAATGTTTATGAATTGTTTTATTTATACAACACAAAATGAAGTAACGATCATTTTGCGTTCTTTATTTACAAAATATCTTTAATAATATGCATA